ACTTTTGCAACATGAATCTTTAAGAATAATTAAAGCGTTTTAAATCAAGGAAGAGTTATAGAAATCGTCAATCACAACAAACTTTTCCAAAAATACACTTTCTAAATATCAGATTTAGATATCAACGTCAAATCATAATTTTGTTAAAAATACAAAGTGCCATTTTGTTTTATAGTAGAAATTGCTTATTTACCTGATTGTTTAATTGCTTTAAAAGTTTGTCCATGCCCTGAATTGAATGGTGTAATATTATTGGTTAATTTCCCAAAGAACGGGTAACACATAGTGTAAGGGATTTATTAATTCGTTTTTGGAAATATCCTCGGCCTCACTTGCTGAGAATGCATCTAGAAGACTCAAAAGAAAATAGCATAGTGATCTTTTACAATATTATTTATAATACATATAATTGTATATAAAATATAAAACGAGAACAACAAATGTTTGGTCAAACATATAACTCGAGAGCGTAAGTTTTACTATCGACAGCAACACAAAACTGATTACATTTTTTTTTTGATATACCTATACTATAATATAATATGGCATTAGACATTTTTAAAATGTAAAACGACAATTTTTTGTAGCAGTAAACATTTTATAATAGTATACTTTAATAGTCTAATTCAGCATGTAAGAAATCAAATGTAACCAACTATATAGTAATACTAGCTCAATTATAATAATATAAAACAGGAAACGGCTACGTTGTTAACGCAAGAAAGTTGTGACATTAACATTTGCCATTGTAAAGTTTTCGGATAATTTTGAAAGCGGTCGTAAATTTCTTGCGATTCGATAAATAGATTACGCAAGCAACATTTGGTATCTGATAAAAACGCACATAAATTCATGTGTGCGAATACGGTTTGCGGCAAGTGGGTGAGACTACAAATTTCGTCAGCAATTTGATAAAGTGCTGGAAAAGTATTAAACGACGATGCGCTGCACGGCGGTATCCGGGTCCCCCACGCTACTTGATTGTTATCTTTTTCCTTTCTGTTTTTTTTTCTTTTGGTTGTTTTACCGTTGTCGTTTTGTTCATTTTCTTTCTCTAGCCATCTTTTTATTTTTTTTTCACACATTTTTATTATTTACACACCCATGTCGTGGGTTACTCGGGCAGCTCCATCATGTTGATACATCGAACCACTTATTCACCCTTTCCCGAGGATGACATCGGCATAAATAAGCCTTTAGGTATACGAGCCGACCATGTAATTGCGTAAAACATCAACATCGAGCTGCCTTAAAAAGATGTTCACGGTTTTTTGCCAGACTTGATAAAATGATTATGCGTAAGGGAGTCGTGAACGTAATTTTTTTATTTCTTTCGCACGCTATAACCATAACAATCACCCTCTTATCCCGTTCAAAACGGTAGGCGGTTTTTTTATTTTCATACAGTAGTAAATAACCAAGTTGCACGAAAAGAGCATTTGAAACAAAGTACTATGCACTTTACGTTAACATTTTAACGCGAATTTACATGTTGCACTGATAAAATCCAACATTGTATTGATTGATTGTTTTATACAGCAATTTAACAGAAGTTATAACAAAAAAAAATATATTTTCTCTGTATTTTCTCAGTTTACTGTTACTGTTTCTCAGTTATTTATTTAATAAACCCATTTAAACGGGTACGTTTAAGGAAATAATATGTCAAAAACCATAAATACATTTAAAATTTTCGTTTTTTTGTTTTATGCAGATAATCTTCAGATTATAACCATTAAATAATTTATTCACGTGATATATCACTTATTAAAGATATTTTATAAGACACAAATTTTAAAAAGTTTATCTTTATTAATCAGAAATTGCACGTGATTAAAACTTGGTTGGTCAAATGTTTAAAAGTTGACACATTTTAAACTTTGCAATAAAAAAAAATATATATATTTACTTTCAACCAACTGACTCACAACAAAACAGCGTGCCTGCCATGAAATTACCATGTCCCGTTTTTTACTCGACTATTTTAGTATTTGAACATCTCACGTTGTCAGTAATTTAAAAGCGTTATATTTAAATTTCAAACACTTTCGTAAGCTTACAATTTTTTACCATTTATGTTGACAGTCATAAATCGTTAAATATATAGTGACTTCTATTACAAGTACTTAAATAACTGACATTATTATGACGTATTATTTGAAAACGGAGTTTTTTTTTTAAACAAGCGCAACTCTACTAAACAAAAATAATTGAACGACATAATGCATTACGTGAGTTCTTCGATGATGGTATAAGTTGGAATCGCGCTTATTGTAGTAAGAGGCAGTTAATTTTCTCCAGTGGCGGCTGTATTCATAAGCTCTCAACACCTTCACGTCATACGCCCACCCAAACATATTATTCATCATTATACTCGTCACCCTTCTATGCGCCATCTTCTTCTGCCTTGCCAATGTAAATTTCGATTTACGCACTCTCTCCCGGGTGTTCAATAAAACATTTTTATTTTAACCTTTCCTTCTCGCCGAACCCAAACTCACGTGTACGACTTAATTCAATTCACGTGTACGGTTTAATCATGGCAACTGGTCGTTTATAATATTATTATTATTATTATTATATTGTAACAAACCCCAAAAGCATGTTAGCATTTCCTCACCCCGTGAAATTGATCTCAGTAACCTGACACCTCTGCTTCTTTGGGGCGTTTCATTTAGATAAAGGCCACACATGGCGCAAAACATATACTTGATAGGTGCTCAAACCGTCATCAACGGCTTAAATAATAAACTTCTAGATGTTATATTCTAGTTTCTATACTATGTTGTAATGTATTACAGTATGATTCTGGGTTAATTCAAACTTCCGAAAGACAAAGTCTTTGTACAAGGAAACAACAAGGTATTTCTGTGGGAGCTAACACCGCAAGTTTACGCTACAATAAAATCACGATGAAATGTATTGTTAAAATCATTGAGGGAACACATTTTTTTTTCTCTAATAAATAGAACGCTTAGAAGTTTGAAAAATGCATCAAGTATTCCATTTGCGGTGCTGTCAATCGATTTCTTCATTTTGTCAGAGTGAAAAAACAGCGAAAAAAAAGTAACCTTAATAGTGGAAAAACGCATTTGGCGTATTCAAAACAAATTTTAAAAGAACAAATGCAATATAGTATAGATACAACAAACTTAATTAAACAAAATACCTTGCATTTATTTTTAGTATAATATAGTTCTTTGTGTTTCATTTTTGTTCGGAAAATGTGATAACATACAAAATATGCAATTAAGTTGTACGTAAAAAAATGCGGTGTTGTGTAAAAAGACATCGGATGACCTTTTTTGTAATTTAATTTAAAGTTTTAACTAGAAATTAAAGCTCTGGTAATTTTTTTTTACTACTTTTTATAATTAATAATTTATTATTATAATTAAATTTCATATGGGCCACTTGCGGTGAGTACACTATGCAACATTTTGTTATTTTATGAAAAGTAATATTTATCATTAGTGAATTTTGGAAACTGTGACTTGTTGTCAAAAGTGGTGTCAGAGTGGACTCGAGATGAACTACAGTTATACTTAATGCGAAGAATGTTAAAAATTAAAAGATTCATTTCGAATTTTTATATTATATAGCTTTAAGTTAGAAAAGCAATAAATTGGTTGATATTTTTAAATATGTTTGAAAGTTTAAAATATTGATCGGTTAATATATTTTTTTAATGAAGATTAATGAAAAATCAAATTCTTCTCAAAAATTCGTGGCAAAAGAGTCGATTTCAATATGATATTTTATTTATTTTTACACGCTAAGATACTAATACAATTTTAAGTTAGTAATAAAGTTGTCTGTTGATTTGAAAGTAGTACTCATAACTTTTAAATCAAAATTTATATAATTATGTCTTAACAGCAGTGGATACACTAGAAGTTTAATAGAAGGTAAGTAGTTGACTTTAAATTTGACTGGTTACAACCGAAAAAAACGTAAAATATACCTTTTTGGCTGCATGGTGGGGATACATGTATAGCGAGTAAGTCTCCAATTCAAATTATTATGACACAATAGGTTCACTTTCAATCAAAGTTGCAGACCTAAAACTGCCCCCAGATAATTAAATAAAAAATCAATTCCTTGTTCTTCTTGAAGAAAGACTTATTATGAATATAAGTAAATAAAAAACCACCCTACGTAATAATGGTAAACTATATCTGACAGTTAAAAAGTTTAATAGCGTCTTAAAACAAAACAACGGCTTAAAAATATATAAAACCCATTATAGTAATATAACTGCTTATACCCCTGTGCCTCGAAGCCATAATAAGTAATAATGTAGCATTATACATTAATATAAATACAAAAATATAGAAACATATACTTATTACGGTTATTTTTTTTTATTAAATAGGTTACTTTATATTTGAAGTGACATGAGATATTTGCAAAAAACCTGACGTTGAAGTTTACTTTAAGTATTATTAAAGTAATGATGAGTTGATGAGTAATATTACTCATCAAAACTATACCTACACAATAAAAACTTTTTAGTATTTATTCATTTATTTTAACTTTGAAGAGTTTAACGTGCGTATATAAAAATATAAGGACCATAGACAATTTCAAGAATTACAATGACAATAAATTATAAATTTGAGTGTAATATAACATAATTACAATTATAATATTTATTTATTTGTATGTCCTCGAAATATTATGATAATGTTAACACTAACATTTAGTGTACCTTTTTAAAAGTAAAATGATACATATTTTAATAAACAATATAAGAAGTGTGTTATAATATTTTATATTTTGTCAAAGAAATCATGTATATTAGGTTTGTATACAAATTGATTAAAAATCTTAACATATTAACACTTGAGCATTTTCTTTTTTTTATTAAAAAACAAATAAAGTTAACTTAAAAAAGTTAGTTAGCACCCGCAATGAAAAACATTTAGCTTTTTTATAAACAAAAGTAATCACACTTGACGGTGGAAATCATTAAGTTAAACGAAAAACATTATACTTGCCTGTGTATCTTTTGCACGTGAAAAGCTTTACTCCTTTGGTAGCGCAATGCGCAATCCGTCGTACATCGCGTACGGGCGCCGAGCCCCAAATGAATAGACGGATTAAGCGTTTTTTTTATTTGGCAAGTCAAAAAATAACCGTTCGCACAATACCAAACACACCTACCGCAGTGCAAACCGATAATCCAAACAGATGCGGCTGATTTAATTCGATTGTTACAGGAATCTTTAGGGTCGCGCACAACACATCGACTGTTCCAGAACAAAAACGGGGATGTGAAACGCGTGGAGAACGGCTAATGTCCCGGGTACGCACTGGCGTCGCCTTTGCGAACGTTCGCTGAAAAAGCCGCTAAAAGCCGGCCAGGCGCTGGTCGTACAGAGTCGGCCGGGCTCGGTTCGGTTAAAAGATGCATAGCTGTTATATAAAGCCCCGGAAGCTCCGTAATTGCGATACCCTAAGCACAGCGAGGTATCTTTTTTTCTTTACCGTAATGTGTACCTTTTATCTGTAAGAGATTTCTTAAATGCATTTATGTTCATATTTTTTTGATCAAATACAATATATAATATGATACTTATAGAATAAAATTCATTTGCCGTGGCATTAATTATTTAGCATTATATTTTGATATTATAGTTTTTGTATATCTGAGAAGATGTTGTTTTTACAATAATGTGTTTTTATTTATTTTTTGTCTATAAACCCATATTATTCTCTGAACTACAAAACCGATTTCTTCATGCAGCGTGTCTATAGATCAAAAATCGTGCCTGAAAGATACTTTATTGAACCAATCATTTCCACCCCTTTAAGTTTGATTTATTTGGTTCCAAATTTATATGGAATTCAATTTGACATAAAACGTTGACAACCAATAAAAATATCATAAGCCCTTTCCTCTAAAGAAGATGAAAACTCCTATTTATTTTATTTATCTTTATCGAACGTAGTGGTAGGACTTATGGTCTGAAAATTACATTAAAGGTAAAAGGTTATAGGTAGGTCTACCAAGTATATTGTGGTGCTATCTACTTCTTCTACTTCTAAGACATCTCAAAGACCATTACAGTCTATCGCCGCAACAACAACATCACTCCACTTCTCCCTGTCCCTTGACACTTTCTCCGCGTTCTCCACCCCAATCATCCTGAAGTCTTATCCTTGATTCTGACAGCCCACCTTTGACTGGCTTGTCCTCTGGGTCGTTTTGTGTTCGGTCTTCATCTCTCGTTATGTTCCCCAGTACTCCTTCTGATCTCCATACATGACCAACCGATCTTAATCTACTACTCCTCTTGTTTTCTAAAATATTAGCTTCTCCAAATATTCTTCTCAACTCTTCATTTGTCTTAATTTCAAATTCACCTTCTTCGTTCTTTTTTGGTCCAAAAATTTTCCAAAGTATTTTCTTTTCAAAAACACCCAGTTTGTTCTCATCCGTTTTAGTGGTTGCCCACGTCTCACATGCGTATAATGCTAGGAGTCTAATTAAAACTTTGTACAATGTTATCTTTGATCTTCTTGTAAGTAGTTTTGATTTGAACAATGTTGATAGTCCAAAATAGGATCTGTTTGCTGTTATCAATCTTTCTATTATTCTTCATGACTATTAGCGTTTTCATTCGCCCACGCTCCGAGGTATTTAAAGTGTTAGAACATTTCAAATGTTAGGACATTTCAAATGAAAAACCTTCTATTTGTAATTTTCTTGCCGTTTGATGTTTTCTGGATAGTATTCGGTATTTTGATTTCTCTTCATTTATGTTAAAAACGCTTTCTTTCCCTGCCCTTATTAGCTCTTTTGTGGATTGTATTAGATTCTTCTCATTTTCTGTATTTCTATGTTTTTATCTATGTTTAATATTTCTACCATCTACAGATTCGCATCGTGCATCGCGCAATTTATTTCAAAGTGATTTTATTATTTTTAATTATAATGAATACTGAAAACCTGCGACTTAACGGTTCCCCGATCCTAATATGCTACGTCCCTGACCCCACTATACTTAGTTTTTTACATGTTCTTCATCAACTCACTAACACGTACGTACGTACAAAAAAAATGTGCTATAATTGCTTGGTAAATTGTTCTTGTAATACAATTTTTTTTTCTTTTTAGTTCACTTTAAACTATTTTTTAGAAAAGCGTGTTTTTTAAAGTTATTTTTTATTTAATTGATTTTTATAGTATATATCCAAGGACAACTCCTTATTGTTTTTATAAATAGGCAACTGGTAAAATTCCACTCCAACAGAATGCAATTCGCATCCTATAAGTGGATGATACGATTTAATAAACGTATTTGCGATTCTTCTTATTTCAGAATAATCATTTACCATCAAATGTTTTTTTGATATTTATAAATAGGTCAACTACTTTTGTATTTTATTTACGTACTGTTAATACACTTACCAATATATTTATATGTATTTATAAAAATCGTTTGTTGAATTTCCAGCTCTTCAACCAAATTGTTTTTTGGAAAAGTATATAAAGTAATAACATATTGTACATAAGAAATGGGGTATGGTAAAAAACATAAAGGCGAGATAAAATTCGAGAAGTCTGCAGACAAATTTCATAGAAAACATATTCTACGTTTGACACATGGTCAACAGTCTAGAAGCTATTTGACATTTTTAGAATGTAAGAAATGAATATAAGTTTTTTGTGACGGAGTAACAAGTAACAAGGTTGCTTAAATAAGTTCGGTTGTTATAACTGGCTCTTATCTTGAGGTTGTGTGATCATTAAGTTTTTAAAATATTACCAACCTTATATTTTTTTAAATGACGTTTTTAATTTAATTTCAAGCACATAAAATACTAAAAAATATGAACACAATCACTGTTATTTCAAGTAATTAAAAAATATGCTTGTTTTTCGTGTAAGATTTAAGTCATTAGATCAAAAGTTATGCACAAATTTTAGCGTGTTGGTAATATTTCATATTCATTAGTGAATTTTAGAAACAGTGACTTGTTGTCAAAAGTGGTGTCAGAGTGGACTCGAGATAAACTAGAGTTATACTTAATGCGAAGAATGTTAAATATAAAAAATTTAATTCGAATTTTCATATTATATAGCTTTAAGTTAGAAAAACAATAAATTGGTTAATATTCTAAATATGTTTGAAAGTTTAAAATATTGATCTATTATATACTTTTTTAAACAATATATACATAAAAAAATAAAAAGAAGTATAAATCACGATAATTCAATTTTTTTCCATCGTTTTAAAAATGTCTCATATTAGCGTCATAAAATATTTTTAATAATTTCGTGAATCATGATATTACATTATCAATGTAGTTAACCATTAACAATAATACAGTAATACCATTAAGGAGTAATACATTGACTTACCCTCAAAATTGTATAATCAAATATAGAGAGAATTTTTTGCATATTGAATATTTGTTTACAGTTCATGTCTACACCTATATTACAAATTGGCTTTGCCTACGTTTCAGAAGCCTTTCATCTACCATCTTCAAGGTTTTGTTGTGTCTTAGTACATGTTAGTCATTCCGGTGCTGCCTGTAAATTGAAGCGATCGTCTCCATGGTCGTGGTTTATATATTATGCCGATGCACGATTTGCTTCCACTAATATTTTCTTGCTGCCGCCTTTTTGTTTGTCGTTCTACCTTGCCACCGGCTTCTCCAGTCCCGTCAATCACCCCCTCGACTTTTCCTCTCATGTCCTTCCGCCAAGCCCACCAATTTTTTTCTCACGTGTTTATTTGTCTTTACACCTTTCTTGGACTTTCTTCCCTTTCCTCCGCTCTCATTCCCATTATTTTTCTCAATGTTTACCATGACTATGTATTTCTCTGGAAATACACTCTTCTTAATCAGTTTATTACAGGATTCCATGTTTTACTCAGTTTCGATCTATCTTCTTTGTTAAATTTTGTGGGAACTTTTCTATTTCAATCAAATTTTATCAAAGAATATTATTTCTTTTGTTCTTAAATGATACATATTCCTATTTATCACTTTAAGTGGAGATATTTGATGTCTTTGCACCTTTTATGAACGAAGTAGCTATTAAATTTGTAAAATAAAAGCAATTAATGGTCTGAGAAATTTCAATGTAATAATAACAAAACCAGGAAATTATAGCAGAAGCGTTAAAAGCTGAAACAATAATTATAATGACGAGTTTAGTATAATATATATTATGTTAGTACAAACACCCTAGAATGGAACATTAAAAAAACAAAATAAGATTAAAAAACTTGTTAAGCTACAATCTCAAGTAAGTATACTTTAAAAAAACATATTACAATATGCGATCCTTTTTGGTTAATTCTAGGTATAAGAGCAGCCAACAATAAAAAATTTAAGTAATTTGACATTAAAAACAAGATGTTTCTATGATAATCTTGAAGGGTAGACCGTATGAAAATGAAGTTTGTAAGCTTTAAAGGAGCTTACACGAGCTAAAACAGTTTCCCCGGTGGTAAAACAAAAAGTTCAGAACCATTTTCTCAAACGCTGGTTTAAAGAAAACTAAAGCCGATTATTGTGTACAACTTGTACGGAAGTAAAAGTAATTTTTTTAAACATTTTGTGCTGGTTATAAATTCAGTTCTGACCAGTAACACAGACAATAAACAATAATATTCATTATCTACAAGCAATAAGCGATTCTATATTATGTAATCGTTTATCTTTATACGTATTTTTTTCTAAAAAAAAAATGGGACTTCACACACTTATTTTAATTATATCGTGCTCTACTAAAAAATGTACTTAATTAACAAGGCTCTACTTTCTCATTATATTAAATACAAAGTAACACAACATAACGTTTTAGATAGCATTAATTGGGAAAATTGAAATTTAATGGGGAAAGGGGAAGTCCTTTTTTGAAATAGTAGCCGAAAAACCAGTATTCAAAAAACCTTCAAGCCGCAATAATAAAATTCCATTACCATTAGTTTAACTACAAAATCGCCAATGGTTGGTAGCAGTTAATACTGTTCTCTTTTTGCTCTTTACAATCGCCTCCTCTTACGATAAACATATTGTGTTTCTTTAGGCCCATACGGACCACAGCTAAAGCTTTAGCTAAAGCCTTTTTGTATTGATTTAAACCATTTACTAATAATAATATGTTATGTTCAATATATTTTTTTAAGTTATAATTAATCATACAAAGTGTTTATTTGTAGCTGGTTATTGACTACATTATTTATTTACATTAGATTATCCTTGTTTAAATGGCAATTTAAACTAAGAGATCCATATTTGAATTTTAAAAGTTACACTACCAAACTACTCGCTTT